CTCAAAATTATTAGCAAATAACAATAATAACTCATATTTAAAATATTTCAACAAGAAAATTAATAACAAGTATAAAACTAAAATTTATACTCTCCCGTCTCATTTATACAGGCTTGTTTTAATTTCACACAGATTAAGAAATCTTATTTAATGTTATCAAAAAACAATTTTTGCCTATTTATATTTGTACAATTTCAAGATTAAGAGAAAAAAATTGTTATAACTACACAAATTAAATACGGGCATATTAGTAAATGAACAAAACAAAACATTTTTAATGAAAAAACAAGACTATATAATTGAGACAAGAAAATAAAGAAAGTTAGCCTTTACACATGGAAATGAGAGAGTCTTTATAAATGAAAAATTTTAAATTCAACGACTATCATGTTGGTATTTTTTTGAAAAATCACGTATCAAAATATCCAACATGTGTCGGATACATGTGTCAGTATCGGTGCTTCATTGATAAATTTTTATTTCTTTGTAACCTCGTTTGACATTAAGACTTCGGGAGTTTGATAAAAAATTTTATCACATTCAAGTACTATTATACAACCCCTAGATGCCTCATAATTCCTGTTCAATACTCTGGGATCCATGTTCCTATCTTGTGACCAAGCTTGCAACTTTTTGTTAGCAAAATACTCAAATTTCCCAATATAAATTTCCACAAAATGGCATTAATTAGTTGATCCAATAACCAAAAAATGAAACTTGGTGATTTTGTGACCCAGTCCCACCACCATTTTCACCGGCACAAACACAACCAGAACCTTTCACCCCACGCCCAACCATCAATCCATTTGGTGAGACCAAATCGTCCCCTTCTTCACTCAAAGGTTTACAATCAACCTAACCCCTTCAAACTACCATATCCTTTTATAAGGTTTTCACATTATTATATGTTCAATAAAGTAAGCCCCACATGGAGGTTCTGCCTGACTGAATGGAAAGGCAAAATAGTGACAGTCCATGCAATATATCCGTAAGCATCCTCTGCAACACCATTTTCTCCATTAACAAAAAACTGAAAAGCCCAAGCCTATATATCTGCAAAATTGCATTACATATCAGGCATTTTTATGGCCATGAAAAATGTCTCAGAAAAATGCAGCAGAAAATAAGCAATATCATCCATTGGTACTTCGAATATGAGACTTTAAGATCTTTATTTAATGCGAAGAGTTATAAGAACACTGAATCTTGAAAAGATGAAGATAGTGACAAGAAGCAGAATGATAAAAAACTACAGCATATAAATGAACTAAAACCAGAAAAATGTTGGAAAGTTTCCTCAAAATTGACACTTGCCATGTTTGAGTTTATGCACTACAAAAATGAAAATGTGGCTGAATCTTTCTGCAAAAATTTCTGTCATTCACTGCCGCAAGTAGGTTATTAAGTGGATATATACATCTGCAGACAGCCTTTAAAAAGTAAGGCTTCACTGGGTAGACCTACCCATTGCCAACTTTCATGTTCGGTATGCAGCCTAGATGGAAATCAGTGAGGCATTGTAACTGGAGTTAGCTGAAAGTGGTGGCAGGGGTGAGCTGATCCATGGGGCTCAATTTTTGGGCCGGGTTATAGGTTTTTCCACTTCTTTCTCCTTTCCTTTTCCTTTTTCTTTTTCATTTTTAATTATAGAGGGAAAGTTATTGCAACACAAATCAAACCTTTCTATCTTTCAAAAGTTAGGCAAGTGATGTTCACACTTCACATGCACATTTAACAGTCAAAATGGACGGTTCTAGTCTCAAGAGACTACTTGCACACCTAACCTGTAGGTTGGGACTTTACTCTGAAAAACATAAAATAAAGACAACATTGAAAATTAGGCCATAGATTGGGAAACAAATGGCGCAGTTTAAATTTCTAACAAGCCTAGCCCTCTTCTTATGTAGGTATTGGAAGAGAGGTGATCTTTTAATCCGAGTAGACTAAGAAAAGCAATAAATCCAACCAAAAAAGAGAGAGAGAGAGAGAGAACTGATAATCTACTCCTACCAGAACTAGAAACCCTATCAAAATAATAAAATTAATAATAGTAGAATCCTACCAAAAGTGATCTTTTACTAGGTTGTCCACATTTTTCTTCATCAATTTTCCTCAACCAGGCTGGGCAGAATAGCTGAGCAAGTACGAGTGATAGGCCTAAGCTAGTAGCATATTAAAAATTTTACGTGCTTACTTATTCTGCTTAAGATTTACTAATGTTTCCAACATCACATTATGATGAACAAATTTTGTCTCTAAATATTAGTTTAAAATCAAGACCTTTGCGGACCAAATCACCAGGTCCTAAATTTTTACAATTTTCATGTCCAACTCCGAGATCCACACATTGTCTATAAGCATATGAAAATCTGCAGACACCAAGTAAGCATTTAAGCATAAGCAGTCATACAGTAAACAATGTCATAAAAACACTAAATTCAGCACACCCCAGGACATCAACTTTACCAGATGATCAAATTATAATGCTGGAGAGGGAAAAGTAATGACACGATCCGTCCCGAATCACCCTAGTGGACTCGAAACGTGACGTGCGCCGATGATAGATGTTGACTAGATGTCAAATCTATCACCAAGACTGAATATGAGTTATTTTAAAAAAATGTAACAAAATCAAATGTTTATGTAAAATATAATGCGATGGGCCCAAAATATTTACTTCGTGCTTCATCAATATGAATTATAACACTCAACATGTCGTGTGGCTCTTATTCCGAAATCATTAGGCTCTTCTAGCTAAAAAAGATCGATTTCCACCTGTAGAAAAAATCGTGAGAAAATATATGAGTTGAAAACTCAGTGAGTGGAGCAGTTAGAAAATAATTATACTTTTTTCAATTTTACATATCTATCGAAAATGGAGTTCATATCATTTAATAATCCACAAGATAACATCATGTAATTATAACCAAAAGTGAAATATTCACATAAAGTTGTAAAGTATCATCTCAAAATCATAATATGAACATCAGCTGATAACCATGCTATAATCTCATCACATTAAACGTGCTGAAAAATCCACCAAAAATGTACCCTTTGATTGAAATATATAATCCGCCCCTCGAGCTAAGAACTTTCGCCATGGGCCTTTCGCCCTTCCGTGAACGAAAGTCGATCTCAAAAACTTCTCATAATCAACTCTAGAACATGACCAAGGCTCCTCTGTGAACTATATGTACACGATCAAGACCAATGTCAGGTCAAGACCCTCCGTGTAGGATAGAACACGGCTAATGCCATAGAACACGGCCAATGCCCTTTTGTGAACTAGAAGAAGTACATAATCACGAGTACTTTTTTGATCAATCTCAATATCACGTCCCACATACCAAACAAATCTCAATATCACATGTCTCATATACCAAGTCACAAACGTACAATAAATAATCATTGAAATTCCACATGTATCACAATAAAAGATATTTCCATAATAACCATGTGATTCGAACACATAATTGCATATAATTGCACATACTTTAACAATATACTTAATTTATAAATATTTTAAAAATATTTATATTTTTCCAGTCACAGTACTATGTTCGCAAAATCAACCCGGTTGGTAAGCTGTTCTGATATTAGTATCGTCGCCTGAAATACGATATAATTTTTAAATAAACAATTAATTATTTTAAATAATTTCAATAATTAAATAGACAATACCCAAACTTAATCATTTCACGTTTGGGCGATTTCTACAGTCTCTTTAATAACTAAAACTAATTTTTCTTTCACTTTACTTAATTTCATAGTTTATTATACTTAACCCCTTCAATAAAATTGAATTTAATCTAACAATATAACAACTATAAAATCAAATATAACTTGATAATAAGTAACTTTTTACTTACCTTTCAAAATTGAGAAATCCAAATCTAATAGAATAGACCCTCATTTTCTAGCAACTTAGCAAAAATTTTCTATTTTTTCTTCTTTCTTCTTCCTCTCTCTATTTTTCTCTCTCTCTCTCTCTCTCGGATCTCTCTGCATGTTTTTGGTATGTGTAGGCAAATGGATTTGTTTGGAAATGGATTGATATAAAATAAATGCACCGCCTCACCTCTTTTTGTTTACCTCTTTTTTTTTTTTAATTAAACTAATATATTACAAGTAACCATCCATCCAGTGGTTTTAATTAGTAGAAAAGGACATTTATTGGTTTCTAAGGGTGTGTTTGATTTCAAGTAGGAAAATTGTATGGAAAGAAAATATTTTCCAGGTAATTCAATTGCCTGGAAATTATTTACATGGAAAATGGTAATTACACGTGTTTGATTGACTTAAATTTTAACCTAGAAAATGTTGCAATTTTCCAACTTTTGGTGTTTGATAGCCATTATTTTCCATGGAAATAATCATTTTTTCCAACTTTGTCTGTTTGACAACCACTATTTTCCATGAAAATTGTCACTTTTTCCATGGAAAATAGTGGTTTTTTCCCATGAAAATTTGTCAATGTGAGTGATCCAAATTTTAAACAAATTTTAGACATAAATGCGGCCAAATCCTAATCAATCATAATTAATATAACAGTTAATTTGTGGATAAAAATATGCCAAGATTCGATATGGAAAATGTAGAAACACGGTCGAGATGAAATAATTATCCCTAACAATTAAGATTTCTACCACTTACATATTCGTCTTTGCAGTCATAAATAATAATCGGATAATCAATTCAATAAATAATGATGAAATTTCGTCCAATGTATTACATAAAATGAAAATGAAAAAACCCAAAAAATCTGTATCATAAGAAAATAGCAAATAAAATCAACATAGATGTCATACTTTCACATGTTTGTTAAATTATCCAACCAAGTCATCTTAAAATAGTGGAGGCGGATCACGGCCCAGATTCTCAAATACTAAATCACGCATGAATTCTTCATCAGTCAAACTCATAAATACTCTAGCCAGACTCTCATCCGATCGAAATATTTTCATTACTTGCATTATGTCATGCTTTTCTATACCATGCCTTGTAATTTTTCTAGAACCAACTGCCAATTGATGTGGTTTAGCGTATCTAATGTTGCTTGAGTCTCCATAGCGATAGCAATTTTTTTGGATGATTCGGCAATGCTTGATAGGGCAACGAGACTCTCATCATTAGGTTGGGTACGTCGACGGCGAACTTTGTTAGTTCCTCCTTCGGCATTATGCTTAGGAGCGCGAATGGGGCTTGGATCCGTATCCTCATTTTGACCATCAATTTCATGCACAGTTTCATCTAAAAAATAGTAAAATAAGAAATTGTTAGAATCTCTAATATAATACGAATTATATAAATTTGTATGTCTGATCTAGTACGTACCATGATCGGGGGATAAAATGTCATTGCCGGTTACAGCACGATCTCCTGTAGCAGAATCATTTCCAAAAATAGCCTCCAAATTATCATAACGAGAACAAAGTTTGGTCCTCCACTTTCCAAATTCTGGTTTGCCCTACAAGAAAAAGAGTGAAATATGTTTTATGCTAGTTAGGGGGCACCATAAATTATATTAGTAATATTGGTCAATGAAATTTTATACCTTCAACAACTCCTCCCAAGCTAGTACATCGGCTGTGACACGTCCAGTGTGAGGATCTAACCCAAAACCACTCATGCTTAACAACTGACGAACTTCGACATATTCTTTTTTTAGAGTTTTCAATCGCGCCCTCACATTCTTATCAGACACCATCACTCCGCATCCATTGTGCACGCTCTCGATTGCTTTGGACACGTGAAATGATGAAAAGTCATTGTCACTTCTTTTGTGACTAGACAACACTTGATGTAATAGTGCAGTTATCATACAACCATCCATTGCATCACTCCAACGTATTTGACGATTCCTAGAATTAGGATCCACTTGGGTTGAGCTTATTTCCTCCACATCTGAATGAAGGGTTGGTCTAGGAACTCGAAAAGGCGCCGCAGAGCTTTGTCGAATATTTGCCATGAATTGTATAGTGCAAGATTAACTGTTTACGGTCAACCAATAAATAAGAACATTTAAGAAAATTGCATGTCAACAATGTCTCCAATAACAACAATTCCAATTACAATATTTAAAATTCTAGCAATCTTATGTCAACTATTACAGGACATGGGAAAAAAAACAAAAAATATGCTTAATGTCAATACGTCTTCAATTCAATCAATTACTACATATGAAAGTCTAGTAAGTTTATATCCATTACATAGGAAAAAAAAACAAGATTTCAATCGAAATCAATTCCCGCATTCTGATTGGGAAGATAATTAGCCCATATTAAATCAGCAATCGCATTCCTCTTATTAGACCACACTTCCTGATTTGTGAAAGATATGTGAGCATTTGGATTTTCATCTTCAGGTACATCAACACGCGTAGGGTTAACCTCATCATCACTACTATCTAAGTCGTCCTCCTCACAAACATCTTCAACGTCATCAATCCTTAAGAAGTTGTGGATGGCAGAACAGGCAAGGACTATCTTTGCTTGTGTGTCAATGTCGTGATAGGGTTGATGACTCAAATATGCAAATCTTTTTTTTAGCAACCCAATTGTGCGCTCAATAACATTACGTAGAGATGAATGTCGAAAATTGAACAACTCCTCACTACATTCAGGACGTTGACCTTCAATGTCTCTACGATGATAACGAGTCCTACGGTATGGTGTAAGAAAATCCGAAACCGATGGGAAGCCAGCGTCAACAAGGTAATATTTACCTAGGAAAGAGTCGTTCATACGATGGTAGTTAGGTAATTATTATAACTTATGTGTGGAAGAAATGTTTTCAAAATAGTGACAGAACTTACCAACAGGAATTGTTAGCTTATGTCCTTGGCGTAATATTGCACTCCGTAACAATCGACCATCATGTGCAGATCCCTCCCAACCGGCAAGCACGTACGTAAATTTCATATCAAATGTGCAAGCTACTAAAACATTTTGGGAAATCACTTGCTTTCTATTGCGATATTTACCTTGCTCCTCTAAAGACACATACGCAGCTATATGTGTACCATCGATTGCTCCTACGGCATCCTTTAAAAAACAATACTTTTCAAAATAAATGTGAATATTGAAGTTTTAAAAAATATGATGAAATATCTACAAACCACTAACCTGAAAAAAGGAGTACCATGGCTGCACATTTTTTTTCGTATGGTGAGTTATGAGGAGTTGCATTAATCACAAGATCTCTATACAATCCAAGACAAGCGTGTAAGACTCTGTGAAAGTAAAAGCTCACTGTTTGACCAGAGCGAAAGAAAGTAAAATGTCCAGCTCGATTACGTTGGTCATGCCCGACTGTATTCAAAAAAATTGCGACTTGTTCCTCAATTCGAACGTATTTACTGTCAACCAATCCATAAGTTCGCAAACAAGCACATAATCTTTGAAATGGACCTATTTTCATCCTAAGGAGATCACGACATATTGTATCACTCGTG